TTTTTTTGAGATGGAGTTTCGTTCCTGTTGCCCAGGCTGTAGTACAATGGCGTGATGTTGGCTCACCACAATCTCCACTTCCCGGGTTAAAGCAATTCTCCTGCCTCAGCCTCCCGAGTAGCTGGGATTACAGGCATATGCCACCACACCTGGCTAATTTTTGTATTTTTAGTGGAGACAGGGTTTCACAATGTTGAGCAGGCTGGTCTCGAACTCCTGACCTCAAGTGATCAATCCCCCTCGGCTTCCCAAAGTGCTGGGGTTACAGGCATGAGCCACTGCACCTGGCTAAGGTGCTTGCATTTTACACCTCCATAAGAAAAGCAAATATGTCTACTTCTTTCAGACAATATATTATTATTTATATTTTATTATATTAAAAATAATGTAGTAAAAAATTAGTCATATGGGAACACTTCTAGAAGTACCACGTTTCATCACATATAATTTAGCATTAAACTCAGAAATCAAGACAACAGGATATAGAACTGAGATATTCACTGTCACAAATTTACCCAGCAAAAGGAGGTACTGTGGTTTGACGAATCTATATAACTCATCAATTATCTACCAGATTTTCCTGTGGAAACATTTTCATTGTCTACAGCCAAAATGGAAGAGAGATTTTCCCTACTTTTTTCCCTTGGTAGCTAGCATTCTTAAAGCTACGGCTTAGAATTCTGTTTGAAATCACAGCTATAAAAAACACACCTGAGAAAATTCCTAAACTCACTCTGGGAAAGAAAAAGATAAATGAGAATTATTAACAAATATATGATTAAATACTAATATTTTGAAACTCATCTCTTTTATGTCCTTCGTAAATATTTTGTTACCTTTCAAGCCCTACTAATAAAATGCAAATTACAGTTAAAAAATTGATGCAGCTGGGTGCAGTGGCTCACGCCTGTAATCCCAGCACTTTGGGAAGCCAAGGCAGGTGGATCGCTTAAGATCAGAAGTTTGAAATCCGCCGGTTCAGGCGCAGTGGTGGGCACCTGTAGTCCTAGCTACTCGGGAGGCTGAGGCATGAGGATCACCTGAACCCAGGAGCCAGAGGTTGCAGTGAGCTGAGATCGAGCCACTGCATTCCAGCCTGTGCAACAGAGACTGTTTCAAAACAAAACCAACAACAAAAACACTTGAAGTTAAAATAAGTGAACAAATCTTTTCAAGCTAGAGATCCTATCACCCACCCCATCCTGTTCAGTTACATGCTCAATAACTACCCTCCCAGGAGACACTGCGCTATGCCCCAGTGAGTGCCCCATGTGCATTTTACTTTCTTTTTTACGCCATCTCACTGGGGTCAGTTTTTTTGTCTTTTGAAGTGTTTTTTCACAAATTTTTCACTACTTTTCTGCTGCCCAAGCAAGAGAATCCAGGGGGCAGAAATTATTTGTTTTCCCCTCAATACCAGCATCTGATTGGCTGACCAGCAATGTTGTCTCCAAGAAATGGAAGCTAGGTTGAGTGAAGACAATCTTCATGTCGCAAGGGGTTAGCTTTTCAAAAAAAAAAAAAAAAGTGCACCAGGATCTGTCTTTCAACCCCAAGGCTGCCACCTGCTCCCTTCAGAGGCTACACTCTATACTTCAGGTGGTCCTATGGCATAAAATGACCCAAGAGCTAACATTCACTAGACACTCTAGCAGACATAGCCATGGTGGGTATCTTGGTTTATCCCCAGAAAGTTCTAAAACCCAAGACCACTGAAGGTTGGCTGAGGACACATCATCCTATTAAGTTTCCAGAGGGTAATCTTGACCAAAAAACATTCGGTAAGTTCTCTGGAAAAATAAAAGACAAAGAGGCACAGATAGTTTTTACAATACAGTATCAGGGAATTATTCTTTGCTTTCTTCTCATGGGAAATATTTACAAACAAAAAACATATTTTCAATAGCGTTATGCAATGCTTTTTAAAAAATGACTATTGGCCAGGCGCGGTGGCTCACGCCTGTAATCCCAGCACTTTGGGAGGCTGAGATGGGCGGATCACGAGGTCAAGAGATAGAGACCATCCTGACAAAGTGAAACCCTATCTCTTCTAAAAATACAAAAATTATCTGGGCGTGGTGGCACGCGCGTATACTCCCAGCTACTCAGGAGGCTGAGGCAGAGGAATTGCTTGAACCCAAGAGGCAGAGGTTGCAGGGAGATCGCCCCACTGCACTCCAGCACGGCGACAGAGCAAGACTCCGTCTCAAAAAAAAAAAAAAAAAAAGATTAATTGAGGAACATGAGGTACACTTGAGGCCCTGCTTGGGACACATGTGAAAAATGCCAGAGAAAATCAGTCCCCTGTGGGGTGTGAAAATAATTAAGTGGCAGGCAATTAGAGTGAGGAAGCTCTAGTACCCAGATTCCTACCTCTAAGAAAAAAAATCAAAACTCAAGTGCATTTTTTGGTAAATTACTACATTCGGGGAAAAAAAATTCAGGCTTAAGCAACTATAAACTGCCAATTAAACTCTGATTACATAACCAAGAAATTTCCACCTCGATTGTACAAATTTAAAAACTACCTAACTAGGCTGGGCACGGTGGCTCACACCGGTAATCCCTGCACTTTGGGAGGCCGAGGCGGGTGGCTCACGAGGTTAGGAGATCGAGACCATCCTGGCTAACACGGTGAAACACGTCTCAACTAAAAATACAAAAAATTAGCCTGGCGGTGGCAGGCGCCTGTAGTCCCAGCTACTTGGGAGGCTGAGGCTGGAGAATGGCGTGAACCCAGGAGGCAGAGCTTGCAGTAAGCTGAGATCCAGCGACTGCACTCAAACCTGGGCGACAGAGCGAGATTCAAAAAATAAATAAATAAATAATAAACATAAAAAAGTAAAAACTACGTAAGTATACCTAACCAATTATTGAATTTGGTTTTCTTCATCATGCACCTTATAAATGTCTTTCCTTCAAGCCCCTCCCATGGACCACAAACCACAAACTGTAGCTGGGTGCTCTACAATTCTTGAATCACTCTTTTTTTTTTTTTTTTTTGAGACGGAGTCTCGCTCTGTAGCCCAGGCTGGAGTGCAGTGGCCGGATCTCAGCTCACTGCAAGCTCCGCCTCCCGGGTTCACGCCATTCTCCGGCCTCAGCCTCCCGAGTAGCTGGGACTACAGGCGCTGCCACCTCGCCCGGCTATTTTTTTGTATTTCTTAGTAGAGACGGGGTTTCACCGTGTTAGCCAGGATGGTCTCGATCTCCTGACCTCGTGATCCGCCCATCTCGGCCTCCCAAAGTGCTGGGATTACAGGCTTGAGCCACCGCGCCCGGCCTTGAATCACTCTTTGATTAAATTATTTGATATTTTTGCGATGACTCCTCGCTTTTTTTTTTTTTTTTTTAAGGCAGAAACTAGCTCTGTCGCCCAGGCTGGAGTGCAGCGGCCGATCTCAGCTCATGGCAACCTCCGCCTCCTGGGTTCAACTGATTTTCTCACCTCCGTCTCCAAAGTAGCTGGGACTACAGGCGTTTGCCATCACACCCAGCTAACTTTTGTATTTTTAGTAGACATGGGGTTTCCCCATTTTGGCCATGCTTGTCTTGAACTCCTTACCTCAACTGATCCGCTCGCCTCGGCCTCCCAACGTGCTGGGATCACAGGCGTGACCCACTGAAAGGAATAAGGCACATTTCTCATGTATCTCCCAACTCCCTGAGCCCAGCACCAGCCCAGCACAAACACATTCCTCATATATCTCCCAACTCCCTGAGCCCAGCACGAGCCCAGCACAAACACATTCCTCATATATCTCCCAACTCCCTGAGCCCCGCAGGAGCCCAGCACAAACACATTCCTCATATATCTCCCAACTCCCTGAGCCCAGCACAAACACAACCCACCATATATTTCTCAACTTCCTGAGCCCAGCACAAACACATTCCTCCATATTTCTTTCAAACTTCAGAAAAACACCACCTGGGAAATCTCCGATAAAGACACAGCGGGAACCAATAAAAAAAAATGCTAAATGTAGGCCGGGCGCCGTGGCTCAGGCCTGTAATCCCAGCACTTTGGGAGGCCGAGACGGGCGGATCACGAGGTCAGGAGATCGAGACCATCCTGGCTAACACGGTGAAACCCCGTCTTTACTAAAAAAATACAAAAAACTAGCCGGGCGCGGTGGCGGGCGCCTGTAGTCCCAGCTACTCGGGAGGCTGAGGCAGGAGAATGGCGTGAACCCAGGAGGCGGAGCTTGCAGTGAGCTGAGATCCGGCCACTGCACTCCAGCCTGGGCGGCAGAGCGAGACTCCGTCTCAAAAACAACAACAACAACAAAAAATGCTAAATGTATAATATTAACCAATTGTAATGCTATAACTGAGAGAATTACCTTGTTCCCCTGTAACTTTACATATCCTGTTTACATCGGGCTATAAAAAGCAAGCACTCGCATTGTTCCCGGCCCTCTTGTAGGCTGTGGAATGGAGGGACCAAGTTCGAACTTGTAGTAAAAGATCCTTGCCGCTTGGCTTTGACTTTGGACTCTGGCGGTCTTCTTTGGGGAACAAACGGTCTGGGTATACCACCACCACTCCCGGCCCCATAAATTTTTAATAGGAGAAAAGAGAAACTGTGAACCCCACGAACCAAAGCTCTTCCCATTCATGAACCCGTACCCCGAGTCAGGATTCTCCCCTGACGACCCTCCCGTGGTCCCTAAACAATCTGGGAAAGACCTGTTGGTGCAGAGCTGCCCGGAGAGGGCTCCAGGCCAGGGCACAGTCACTGAGCAAGGAAAAGACAGGACGCCCCGGGGCCCCGCTGTCAACGCAGCCGCCATCTTACGGCTCAGGCGGAACTGGGCAACCAGAACTTGGAGCGCAGACTGCGGAGCTAACTGCCGGGAGGCCTAAATTCTGCCACAGCCACTTCCTCCCCAGTTCCAACCAGTCCCTCCCTGTCTCTCGGGATGTCGAACCGGCACTCACCATTTCTACGCTTCCAGGGGGTCCCAGCGTCTTAGCGGTGGCTCTCCCAATACCTGCAGGTCACAGGGCCACAGAGGCTGGGCCTCTAAGAGCAGACGCCACAGAGCAAGACCACACCTGAAGCTCTGACGGCCGAGAGACAATGGGCACGCCAAGGCCGGAAGCCGGAAGCAGTCTTGTTCGCTCCAGCTGCCTACCTGACTGGACGATTTGCAGCCCAGCGTCCCTGATTGGATAATGCTTAAGGCCCCGCCCCTCAGGTCCTAAGTGACAGAAGACGTGATCAGATGCTGGACTGAGTGAAGAGTAACAGTGTAAGCCTGCAGCCTTTTCTTTTTTTCCTTTCATTTATTTATTTTTTTGAGACGGAGTTTCAACTCTTGTTTCCCAGGCTGGATTGCAATGGCGTGATCTTGACTCAATGCAACCTCCACCTCCTGGGTTGAGCGAATTCTCCTGCCTCAGCCTCCCGCCTATCTGAGATTACAGACGCCCCCTACCATGCCCGGCTAATTTTTTTTCTAGTTTTAATAGAGACGGGGTTTCACCATATTGGCCAGGCTGGTCTCAAACTTCTGTCCTCAAGTTATCCGCCTGCCAAGGCCTCCCAAAGTGCTCGGTTTACAAACGTGAGCCGCCGCACCCGGCCGGCTGCAGCCTTTTCAAACAGGACTTCCTCCCTGAGCTGAGCCAGACCCACCCAGAGCATGGGAAAATTCTCTTTTTTACTCTCTCTCTTTTTGAATGTATTCAAAAGGTGAACAGAAGTATTCTGCTGTCGTATTAATAATATATAAAATTTTTGTTCAAGAGAAAATCAACTTTTACTTTGGTAACAGTGTGTAGCTAATTTTAATAAAACTTTACAAATAAATCAAATTTGTCATTTTTGAACACCAGATTTACATATATATTTTGTAATTTCTTGTAATTTTTCTTAACTTTTTATATTTTATTTTTATCCACATTCTTTTTATTTTTCCATTTGAAACAACCTTTACTTTCAAACTGCTATAGGAAGTAGAAAGAAATCATTTAGGGCCAGGTGCAGTGGCTCACACCTGTAATCCCAACACTTTGGGAGGCCAAGGTGGGCAGATCACTTAAGGTCAGGAGTTCAAGACTAGCCTGGCCAACATGGTGAAACCCCATCTCTATTAAAAATACAAAAAAATTAGCAGGGTGTGGTGGTGCACACCTGTAGTCCCCGCTGCTCTGGAGGCTGAGGCAGGAGAATCTTTTGAACCCAGGAGGTGGAGGTTGTGTAACGGCCCAAGGGGTTCACCTTGCCCTTTGCCTAGACAGAGCCAATTCATCAAGACAGGGGAATTTGTGGAGGAAAACTTAAATATTAAATTTGAACTTAATTGAACCTGGACACAAACAATGGTCACCAAGTCCTGGAAAAGGTTATGTGTGCCCCTTGAGGCGTTTATCCTGTGCTGTTTTGGAGAAATCTCTATTTCAATCCATTCCAATACATTGGTTATTGAAAAACAATAGACAATTGAAAAAAAAAAAGTTGACCTTTTTGTGTTCCTTGACCCCATTCGTGAAGGGTCCTCATGACTGGGCCTCATGCCAAAGAACTCGTTACAAAAAGAGCTAGGGTCCCAGATCGCGCGGAAGCTTCATGAGACCTCTCCTTGTCTGTGCACGGATGGGTGTCCGACTCTGGAGCCCAGCCTGTTGCTTCCCGGTCTGGTGGTGAATCCTCCATAGTCTGGTGTGGAGGAAAAGTTAAATATTAAATTTGAAGTCAATTGAACATGGACACAAACAATGGTCACCAAGTCCCGGAACAGGTTGTGTGAGCTGCTTGAGGCGTTCATCCAGCGCTGTATTGGAGAAATCTCTATTTCAATCTATTCCTATACATTAGTTGTTGAAAAACAATAGGCAATCGCAAAAACCACTTGACCTTTTTGTGTTCCTTGGGCCCAGTTGCGAATGGCCCTCATGAATGGGCCTTATGAATGGCAACGAATTATGCCAAACAATTCGTTTCAAAAGAGCTAGGGTCCTAGACTGCACTGAAGCTCCATGAGAGACCTCTCCTGTCTGTGCATGGGCGAGTGTCCAACTCTGGAGCCCAGGTGGTTGCTTCCCACTCTGGTGGCGAATCCTCCATAGTCTGGTGAGTGTAAATATATATATCTCTTTTCCCATCTCCTCTTCCCAGTGTAACTTGCTTATTATATGAATCTGCTTATTATATCAATCTGCTTATTATATTTATTTGCTTATTATATCATTTGCTTATTATATCTGCATTGCCATTTACATGGGATAAAGTTTGTTTACTCTTTTTTTTTTTTTTTTTTTTGAGACGGAGTCTCGCTCTGTCGCCCAGGCTGGAGTGCAGTGGCCGGATCTCGGCTCACTGCAAGCTCCGCCTCCCGGGTTTACGCCATTCTCCTGCCTCAGCCTCCCGAGTAGCTGGGAGTACAGGCACCCGCCACCTCGCCCGGCTAGTTTTTTGTATTTTTTAGTAGAGACGGGGTTTCACCGTGTTAGCCAGGATGGTCTCGATCTCCTGACCTTGTGATCCGCCCGTCTCGGCCTCCCAAAGTGCTGGGATTACAGGCTTGAGCCACCGCGCCCGGCCTGTTTACTCTTAAAGGTATTCTGTATGTGTCTTTTCTTCTCCCCTCACGCCTTTCCCTCACCGAACATTTTTGGCATTACAAACAGGATTCGAAACCAAAAGTGTGCCTCTTTTTGGCCACAAGGACAGGGCTGGAGGCTCAGGAACTTCCCATACCTTGGTATGGGAACTCCCCCAGTTCTCCCCCTTGGCGATTGAATGGTCCAGGGAAACTGGCCTTTGTGAGAATTGAGAATCTAAATTAGTGCAATTTAAATCTCTGTGCATGAAGTGCTGCAGGGGATTCTAGTCAGCAAAAAAGATGCTGAGGGAATCTCTCAGAGTGGATGGTGTTTGCTTACTGCTTATAAGTTAATATGTCAAATTATGGGCTGGTTGCAAAAAGAGAAATGTAAGTTGGAAAAAGAAAATGCTAATCTGACGTCCAGACTGGCCCTGGCCCAATGCCAGGCCTATGTCTTGACTGATCAGGCTCAAAGCTATCAGCCTATTGCTGAAAAAAGCAGCTGTCCAAGTGGCCCAGTCAGGGTGAAACTGAGGCACTAGTCAGCTGGGGCTTGGAACAAGTAAAAACCCAGCTCCTATCTCAAAAATGGGAAATTAGCCTAGTAAAATTCAAGGAACTGCACAAACTGTAAAATTCCTTGGTGTCTTGTGGAATGCAGGGAAATAGTCCATTTTACCAAAGACTAAGGCTAAAATACTAGAATTTGCAACCCCTACCACTAAAAAGGAGGCTCAGAAATTTATTGGCTTGTTTGGATTCTGGAGACATCATATTCCCCACTTGGGTTGTTATGCCCAGTCCGTTTATTCCCCGAAGAAGACCACCAGAGTCCAGAGTCAAAGCTAAGCAGCAAGGATCTTTATTACAGGTTCGAACCCGGAACTCTCACTCACTCTCGGCATGAGAGGGTCAAGAGAGAGAGTTCCCCCACAGAGCATTCAACAGTGTTATATAGTCTAAGAAGAGTGGTCATAGAATCATTATACAGATCAGATGTATGATTGGCTGGTGTTTGAACAAGGCGATTTGGCTAACTATGATTGGTTCCCGCCATTTCTGGTATCTCAGTTCAACCCTTGAGACGGAAGAGCAGTTTCTGCACAAAGGCAGTTAATTATATTGCGTCAGGTTGCACAACCGGTTTATGGCAGCATGAGTTTATCTTACTTAAACATGTCTTGTGACCTAGCCCCAGGAAGAGAAACAGGTACTTACAGAACTTTCGAAACCTCTGGTACGTGCAGAGATAAGAAAGCAGAAGCAGAACAAAGGGTGTAGCAATAGGGAGCAAGGGGGGTGGGGGTGTCTTTGTGTTTTTGTGTCCTTTCAGGGTAACATTTTACAACCTCTGCATGCAGCCACTAGAAAATGCTATGACTTTCATTGGGGAGAGACAGCATGACTTCTGAACAAGCTAAACAAGTGGTGCAACTGGCCCTGGATCTGTGGCCCATATGGCATGGGCCAGCAGAACTGCAAGTGACTGTCCTAGATCAACATGCTAATTGGAGCCTTAGGCAGAAACAAGATGGGAAGAGGGTACCTTTCAGGTTTTGGACCCAGAAACTGCCAAAGGTGGGAAAAGCTTATACCCCTTTTGAGAAGCAATTGTTAGCTTGCTATTGGGCTTTGCTGAAAATGGAACACCTCTGCTTCAACCATGATGTCTTTATGAGGCCTGAAATTCCTAGTATTATTTGGTCTTGAGTTCCCCCAAAACCCACCAGACAGGGCATGCCCAAGAATGTAGCATCATAAAATGGAAATGGTACATACAAGACCAGGCTAAGCCAAAACCAAAGGGGGTATCAGTTTTTTTTTTTTTTGAGACGGAGTCTCGCTCTGTTGCCCAGGCTGGAGTGCAGTGGCGCGATCTCGGCTCACTGCAAGCTCCGCCTCCCGGGTTCATGCCATTCTCCTGCCTCAACCTCCCGAGTAGCTGGGACTACAGGCACCCGCCACCTCGCCCGGCTAATTTTTTTGTATTTTTTTTTAGTAGAGGTGGGGTTTCACCGTGTTAGCCAGGATGGTCTCGATCTCCTGACCTCGTGATCCACCCGTCTCGGCCTCCCAAAGTGCTGGGATTACAGGCTTGAGCCACCACGCCCGGCCAGGGGTATCAGTTTTACATGAGGATGTATGAAACTTCCCAGCTCAGGAAATCACAGAGCAAGTCCTGCAGATAGGGAAGGAAACCTCCCCCACCCAATGGGGCAGATCCTTTAAAGAACTAAGCCCAAAGGATCAGAAACATGCTTGGTTTATGAAGGATCCACCAAATACATTGGGGACCCGATGCTCGAAGGCCATGGCTTATAATTCTATTAAAAACATAAGAATTTATGATGAAGGAAGGGGTGGGAGCAGCCAGTTAACTGAACTAGTAGCCATCCTCCAAGCTATTCAAGAGGAGGCCAGAGGGATTTGTCACTTGTATACCAACTCGGTCTGTAGCAAATGGTCTTACTACCTGGATACCCCAATGGTAACAAAACAAATGGTTAATTGGGAATAAAGAGGTTTGGGGAAAAGAATACTGGGAAGATATCTGAATCCTGGGACACACTACCATTATCGCTGTTTTCCATGTTGGTGCCCATGCATCTCTGCTTTCTCTTGACAGACTATTTAATCAGCAGGATGATCAATAGGCCAAAATCTCCACCATAACTGCAAAATTGAATCCAAATGAATGGATTACAGTGTGTTCAAGCCTTTCAATGACAGGCATTGTAATGTATGGTGGTATAACTGATAGTGATTATTGGCCTAAATGCTACTAATTT